GTTAGCGAATCCGCAAATCCAGTTCGGTTTTCTCGTGGAACAGCAGGCACCTCACATTCCCGCTGCAGAGCAGAGCACAGAGCAGCAGCCGCAGCTGCCGAAGCACCAGGAGTAGCAGCAAGCGGGATTGAAGCACCAGCAGCAGCAAGTCTACTACTAGGGTGAGAGTGTGAGTGTAGGCGATGGTTGAGCCACGGCAGGAAGAGGAGACTGAGTGCAGGAGGGAGAGCGCCGTGATCAGCATAGGCCAGCTCATTAGAGAAGCAGGCGCTGCTGCTGTTGCTGGTTGGTCTGGCTGCTCGAATAACGATTCGCCTGTTTTTACAAGTCGCGTGATCAAACCACTCTCGCAAAAGCGAGAGCTTTCATTTTTCCCCTTTCCTAGATAATCGGGGAGGTGTTTCGCGTGCGGCCCCTTCTCCTGCAGTTAAAATTTCAGCGCGCACTGAATCGAGACAGATTCGAAGGAACCTGGCTGTGTGCAGCGAGACTGGATTCGAGAGACGGAGGGCATTCAGAGAGGAAGTGAAGGAATCGAAGGAAGGGCAGGGAGGGAAGGAACGAATGGAAGTGATAGGGAAGGAAGAGGAGGCTGATGCAGAAGAGCCGGAGCTTGAAGGGACGGGAGCAGCAGAGATAGAGGGAGGATACCTGCTGGTCAGGTCACCTTCCCACTTTGATCAGCCTTCCGTGGTTACCACTTTTTCGCCGGATCTTATCGCATTCCCTCGACACAGTGTCGATCTTAGCCTGACGAAGCGGTCCGCCGATTTGGAGTCGAACGAATCCCCGACGCTAGCCGCGCTGTTATCATCGCCGGTATCACCGCCGCGAACACCGCGGACCTCGGCTGACGTGTTGTCACCGCCACCCGGTGTTACCGGCGTTGACGGCGTTGACGGCGTCGACGGCGTTGTGTGTCCGCCGGGAGAGGAGGTCGTAGTCATCGATATTGCGGGCGAATCTATAAGATCAATTTCTACAACCAGCGCTCATGCCATTATCCCTGTCGCCGTCAACCCTGCCGCCGTTAATTCTGCTGCCGTCAACTCTAACACCCTCTCCTCTGCTGCTGCTGCCGTCAACTCTGCTGCCGTTACCTCTGCTGCTGATCCGCATTCTGCCGAGCGCGCAGAGGAAGGCACCAGAATTCCGCTTCCGCCATCCGCGCTAACCACGGCGCCGCTGCAGCCGGGGCAGACTCGCGGGAGAACGGCGGAGATTATGTCCGCGCCAGACGAAGGCAGCGGAGTTCCGCCTCCGCCGTCCGCGCTAACCACGGCGGAGCTCATGTGCGCGCTGCAGCTGGCGCAGACCCGCGCAAGAACGGCGGAGGAGTCCCTGCGCGCGCTGGAGCAGGCGGTACAGGCCGCGCAGGAGAGAGGAGCTGGGGAAGCTGGGGAAGCTAGTGAAGCGGAGGGAGTGGGGGAAGGGCAGATTAGCGCAACGGACAAGCGCCAGGCTGTGTTACGCGAACCTGAAACCGAAACACACAGATTTCAGGGTTGGAAGCAGAAGGGTGGGGAGTTTGACGAAGCAGCACAATGGAGCAGCAGTTGCAGGGACAGGGAGAGGGAGAGGGACGGGGATAGGAGTAGAGACGGAGAGAGGGACAGGGAGAGGGACAGAGACAGGGACCGGGGTGATAGAGCATCAGGACTTCAGAAGGGCGAAGCACACAGCATTGTCTGCGTGGAGGAGGTGTGTGATAATAGCAGAAGTGACAATAGAAGCAACGACAATGTGGGGTGCGGTCAAGGAGGTGGTGGCTGGTCCCTCAACCCCTGCCGAGCGGAGTTCCCAGGGATGTTTTCCAAACCAAATTTCAAGCCAGATTTCGCTCCAGGTTCCGAACCATTCTTTGGATTGAGTTCTACACAGAACCGACGTCTTCAGCAGGCGCTGCTTTTATCCGGCGCTGGTTCGGACGGTGAATTAGCAGCTTCGGCACAGGGCCTAGGTGCGGCGGGATCCTCAACAACAGTGCTCTGCAGTGGCGAAAGCGTGGGCGGCAGACTTTGTCTTTACAGCGCCGGCCGATGGCCTGCTGACGTGGACGATCTGCGGGAGGGTCTGAGGAAGGCAGAGGAGCTTGCCACGTGGCAGGGGCAAGGGGATGAGGGAGGGTGGCGGATTTGTCATGAGGAGGAACCCTGGGGAAGATCGTTTCAAAGGTCACAGCATGCTGCATTTGCTACCACCCACGTGGCTCCATGTTGTACCACACCCTCTGCCTCATATTATTCCACTCCTTTTTCCGGACTTCCTTCTGTACCTCGTTCCCTGCGTCCTCAACCGTTACTTTTTCATCCAGCTGCTCCTCCCCCACCTTCTCTGCCAACCCATTTTCGCACAGTCCCCACCTGTCTCCCATGTTCATCCGAGGTAGCCCCTGAGTATGGCGTCACTTTATCTGTGCTCTCTCATCTCTCTGCTCCATCGGCTCACAGCTCACCGCACACTTTTCACTCGTCTCTCACGGACCCGTCCGTCTGGGCTCAATCACCCTTCTCTTCAGCATCCTCTACCTCTCTTCCGTTTTCAGCATTCACCACTCGCACTTCGTTTTCCGGATCCTCCACTTCCACTCCCCTTTCAGCGTCCTCTCAAGCACCCACCCCTTCAAGCTCCAGCCTCATTCCATTTCACTCATGCATGTCAGACCAGCACCACAAACAACCGGTTTTTGAAGTGCAAAAGTCCTCTGAGGCACCGAGCCCTTCAAGCTCCAATCTCATTCATCCTCCTCCATTCCACTCGCGTCTGTCAGACCAACACCAACAAACCTCGCCAGCCGTGTCATACCAATCTCTGCAACCGTCTCCTACAGCTCCTTATACTCGCAACAAGAAGTTTGCTCATAACTCATACACCAGACGGCATCCCTCGATTGTATCGAACCTGCTTGGCGCGCTTACCCGTTTCATTCGCCGGTCACTAGTCCTTCCCCGGCTACTTCTCAGGATTCATCAATCATTTCTCGTTCCCCACATTCTAGGTTACATTTTCGACCAGTTCTACAACCGGAAAGCATGTGGGCTTGAGGAGCCATTAGGTGAGCCTCGGGGAATTGTCATAGGTGAATCAGGGGAGTTCACTGCTTCGGCCAATGATAGGGGGATGACTAGAAAGTACCCAGTAAACGAGGAGGTAGAGGTGTTAGATGACGGTGACTCTTGGTCGATAGCATGGCTTGTACAAGTGGTGCTAGCCATGGAAGTGGGTGGCTAGCTAGTTGTATGGCAAGGTTGGCTAACTAGGTGGCGATTATTCAAGATGTGTAGAAGCCGTAAATGTTATGCAATCATACGGTAGATGCCCTCTCATAAGGTCAACAATGTGAAGACCGCATCTCAGACGAGTCAAATGCTTGCAAGTGAATACTGTAGCAAATTGAGGGCCATTATTATTTCACTACTGAATACCGGTAGAACCAATGAATATATGTCTGTGCCTACTGTGATTTTACGCATTTCCTCCGACATTTGTACTATACTATTAACGGAGGTTCTGTTCTGAGTCCGCCGACAGTCGCACACGGTTGTTCGGACTCAGCTGAACCTCAGCCGAGCGCTCTACGACGTCAGCGACATTCTAAACTAGCTCTGTCTATTGGCAGGCTTGCTTCGTCTGCAACCCAAGGGGCTCTTACTCTGATTTGACCAATCACCAATTCCACAACCAACCGTTCACTTCCCACCACATGTCGCAAGCCGTCGTAACACCGTCAAATGCCGAAGGCGACTATACGAGCTGCGCATGAGTTTGCAAACCAATCAATTCCTGGTTTCCGAAGCGCACATCTGCCAGGCGAATTTGCAAATTTGCAGCCCCTGAATTCCCCCGACTCGACATTTTGTGCGCAAGCCCCTCTCGCCGCACCCTCGTTCGAAGTTCGCAACGTAAATCTGCATCGTGAATTCGCAAACTCGCACATGCTTCTTCTCACGATTTCGCTGAATGTATCTCTGGCTTTCGCTTTCACACGACTATCATCTGCCCTGTGTCCTCAGGAGTCGCAGGCAGCTTTTGCAGCCACACAGTATACCTGACAAATAACTGGTACTCCTTCACTCGACAAGCAGCTGGCTGGGTATATGCTCAGAGAGACGATTAGTTTTACTGAGGAAGCGTAACGTAGGTAGGGTGGTGGGGGAGGGGTAGTGACACCGTTACGGCAGCACCCTTTGCCCGTCGTTTGGCCGATACCACACCAGAGTAAGTCGTCGCTACCACCGCCTAGATGGGCCGCCTCGGGTCAACTGAACACGAATCCTGCGAAGCCAAGATTCGATCCTGCGAATTGTCAGTACTACCAAGGCCTATCACTAGACCGCACGAGCAGCCAGTATTTAGTCTACCGTACGTGAAGGACTCCGTTTAGAGACGCCTCAACTCTGGCCTCGTTTGAATCCCGAGGGTAGCTGCTACTAGGACTAGCACTGCTAGAGCTAGTGGTACTCCGGTTTTGAAGCTACCTCTGGAAGTATCAAGTCGTTGAAAATTGCATGCTTTCAATATCTTGTGAAATAGGAGAGAACGAGTCAGGGAACGAAACGGGAGAAACCGGAGAGTAGTGCCTTCCTTCCCGATTGGCGCCTCAATAGCGGGAATGGGTAATTACTTGCTTTTGCAAGGTTCCCTTCCCTGTGGATAGTCTTCGTACGTCTATTGTTCGTTGACCTGAGGAGACATTGAGCGGTGAAAGTGACCAGATTGTTTCGCAGCAACATCTTCGCTGGTCGTTTCGCGGTACTTTCGCCTGGTCTTTTGTGCTCCGAGCACCACGAATCGCGCGTGGAGCAACGCAGCCGAGCGCCAGGTGTTCGGCCCGTACTGTGAAGCCAAGAATTTGCAACACCGAGTGAAACGAAGGGTGGAGAATTTACCATCTGCCGAGTGAGGCAAAGAAGAGGCGAAACCATCATTTGCCGCGAGAGGCGAACGCGGGGCGAACTCCAGACAATTTTCGGCGAATTTCGGCGAAGAGCGGCGCCATCATGGTGAAAATCGGCGGTGCGCGATTGGAGGACGTGTCGCCGTTCTTCCATCTCCCGATTGAGGAGGCGGCGCGCGAGCTAGGCGTGTGCTCCAGCGCGCTCAAGCGGCGCTGCCGGCGACTGGGGATCAAGCGATGGCCGTTCCGCAAGGTAGGCGAGATGGGGTGAAGAATACATATTGGTGATGATGGTTTTCATGGCGTGCTCATACGTTTTTATTTTTATTTTTTTCATCCGCCCCTGTACTGTTACCCGTTCTGTGCCAGGTGCGCAGCATGAGCAACTCACTATCGCGTACAATGGAGGGCATGTGCAACGTGGGCGCGGGCGGGATAGTCCCGCCGGAATACCTCCAGCCGGACGCCGCCACGCGTCTCGCGGCGCAGGTGGCCGCGGCGAATCTAATCAACCTGGACCAGACGCGCCGCCCGTTACTGCCGCCCATGAACCGCCCGCTCATGGGCGCGCGGGGGGCGGCAGGCGCAGCGGCGCCCGCGGCGGGGGGAGACGCAGGGGCGGGCGGGGGGGGGATGATTGCACAGATGGGGGGAGGTGCGGGAGGAGGTGGCGGAAGCGGAAGGGGGGATGGAGTGGATGGTGAAGGGGATGAGAATAAGGAAGCGGGAGCAATCGTGCTTCATATGGGTGATTCTCCCGTACTCGCTTGGGAGTCACCCGATAAGTGTGACGAGCAGAACCCGTGGGAAGGAGGAGGAGGGGGGATGGAGGGCGGTTTTCGTGGTGCTGAATTGGCTATTCGTGAGGGCACTATGGGGGAAGGAGGTACGTTGATTTGGTGTCTCGTTAGGCACTATTCTCATCGTTTTCTCTTGCTAACGAAAAGCTTGCCCGAGTTTCCTCTTGCTCTTCCACGTTCTCAAGTCCCATTTTTCATCTGTCCTTTCCATTCGTCTCGTCCCTTCCATCCCACCCATCTCTGCCACCAGGCCCGTCCCTCATGCTATCGGTGATTCGCCACGCCGCCGCCAGCAGGGCTGAAGCCGACAAGGAATTACCACCTGGTTACGACAGCACACACGCATTGCTCCTCTCCAACCCCTCCCCGTTCCTCCGCCCACACCACCCGGCCCACCATACCCACCCAGCCCATCCCGCCCACCCAGCCAACGCACCCCACCCATCTCAACTCCCTCATCCCCCTCCACAACCTCTTCAAACCCCTCTCTCCCTTCCTCCCATGATGACTCCCGGCAATCCCGCTCCTGCCTTCCCTCCTCCCTTCCCCGCTCCCTTCCCTCACGCTCCTCTCTCTCTCCCACCACCTCCCTCCTCCCTCCCTCCTCCCTCCCTCCATCCCACCACTTCCCTCCCTGCAACCCTCTCATTCCCAACACCCCCCTCCTCTTCTCTCCCCCCTCTCCGCTCCTCCTCCTCCTTGGAACCACCGAGTCGCTTGCTCCACATAGACCACTCGCGATTGGTGTTGCCGCCGCCCTGTGCTGACGTCAAGCCCTCAGCTGGTGACGTCAGCCGTGCGCCGTTGTCAGCACCTGCTGACGTCAACCGCCCATCCTTCCAGCCGCTGTCCCTCCCGAACCTGGCGGCTTGGTCCAGACCTCCCAGTACGCCTGGGAAGTTGGTTTTTCCGTCAAACGAAACAAGCTTTCAGTCGGCTCTACCTGCCTGTCCGTCAAATAGCCAAGCCAGCGGCCCCTCAAGCACCCCACTCCACCACCCCATCCATAATCCATCTAATACACCCATATATCCAATCTCTACACCCGCTAACCCCGCTTCTACAATTTCAGTACCCATATCTACACCCGTTATTTCATTTCCCGCAACTACACCTATGATGCACTGTGGATCTACACCCAGCAGAGGCTTATCCACAACAACAGAGCAGCTTTTAACGGGGAATCCTCCACCTCTCGCTCTTCCCTCACCCCCACTGCCCCTCAGCCATCCACCGTTCACTCTTAGAGGCCCAGCTGGATCCACGTCAGCCATTGCCACATCAGCAATTGACACGTCAGCGGCCGTAGCAACAGAGGCAGGAGGGACAGCTGAACATGAGGGCTCAAACCCCCAAATTCAGTCTCAGCAGCAACCGCAGCAGCAATTGCAGCAGCAGCAGCCGTTACAGCACCAACAACAGTTTTCAGAGCAGCAACAGCAGCACCAACACCGGCAACAGTTTTCAGAGCAGCAGCAGGAGCACCGCCATCCAGTCATGTATCATCCTTATGAGCACGGGGATTCGCAGCACCATCACTATCAACAGCATCAGCAACATCAGCAGCATTATCACCACTACCAGGAACAGCAGCAGCAACAGCAGCAGCAGCAGCAGCAGCAATGGGAAAGCATGCCACCGTTACACTCCGAATCAAATCATGGGCAGGATGAAGATTTTGAGCTGCCCGAGCCAATCCTTCTGGACGGATTTCACCTCCAGGAAATTGTGCTAGACGACGGAAGCTACTTCTTCACGCCTCCACGTGAAACACCCTTTACTCATTACAAGCTGTCTCCTTTCAAGTCCATAATCAGCAATAACACCACCATGCAAAAATATTCTGGTGTTTGCGAGCCTATGGATACTGATTTATCCACAGCAGTTGCAGCTGCTTCTACTGAGGATGTGCGCATGCAGGAAGTGCTTATAACGGGAGATGATATGCAGGAACAGCTTGAACATGCTACTAACGCGGATGGAGTGTACCACGCAGATCAGCATGCTGGTGTGTTTGAGTCAGTTGGGGATGCAGCAGCAAGGAAGGAAGGAGAGGGGAAGGAAGCAGATGAGAGGAAAGGAGAGACGGAGGGGTATTTGGAGGTGGAGGGTGGAGGGATTGCAGCGGCAGTGACAGAGGGAGGAGAGGAGGAAGAGGTGGATAATGCTACGATACAAGTGGCTACAGCGAACGTGACTGGAGGAGCAGCGGTGCAGGAAATGACAGACTTCTCGAAAAACGAGCTGAAAAGAGAGACTCCAATGGATAGCACGCTGAAGAGGGGGCCTCCACTGGATGGCACGCTGAAAAAGGAGTCTCCACTGGGTAGTTCGCTGAAAAGAGCATACAGCTGCTTCGCATTCCACTCCGACTCGCCTGCGCGGGCCAATCAGGACGCTGCCTCGTGCCACCACCATCATGGGGGGAATTCGTCTCCAGGTGCTCATGGGATGAACCCGCTTCAGGGTGTGTTCGAGGATTTTCCAGCACACCCTGAGCCTGGGTTGTCACCTGAAACTCGCCGCTTCCTCCAAAGCCTGGGCCTGCTGGGCAGTCCAAACCTCCACAGCCCCGTGGCTAGAGGTTCGGGACTCCGTAGCCCGAACCTGATGGCTTCCAGGCTCGGGAGTCCAGGGATCGCTGTGCTGAATTTGGGAGGCTCGGGGAGCAGCAGCCCGAACCTGATGGGAGCGAGGCTGATCAGCCCGGGGCTGAGGTCCAGGCTCGGGAGCCCAGCCAGAGAGAGGAGGTTCAACAGTCCGCCGAACCTGCGGCACGCGAACCTGCACAGCCCGAACCTGAGGTCCAGGTTGAGCAGCCCGCTCAGGTTCGGAACGGCACGAAGCGGTTTGAGCCCAGGCTCAGAAAGAGGACAGGGTAATCCTATGAAAGGGCGCAGGGAATGCCGGAGCTCCATTGAAGCCCCTCACAAGGGAAGTGCCAGTCCCGTTAAAGCCCCACACAAGGGTAGTACTACAAGCCCCGTTAAAGCCCCAGTGCAAGGTGGCGATGGTGTGTTTCGCAGCTCGATTGAACTTCCCCACAAGGGCCATACTAGCCCGTTGCACCTTGTGCTTCCCTCATCGGCTCTTCTGGACTCCAAGGGCAGCAGAGAGCAGCCAGGGGAAAACGGGGCGGCAGAGGAGAAAGCGAAAGAGAAGAAAAATGCAGGGGAGAAAACGGCAGGGGAGAACGTGGTAGGGGAGGAGGGAGCTGCTGGGGAGAAGGAAGGTGCAGCGGAGGGAGGGGAAGACGATGGCGGCAGCAAGGGCGAGAAGAATAGCAGCAGCATGAATCATGGCCCCAGGCAGGGCCCGAGCGAGTGCCTGAGACAGTCTCAAAGCCGCAGTGAAAGCCCAACATTGCTGCTGCCGGCCTCGTCCTTTTGGATGCACAGCCCGTCTCATCTTCCTCACATCCGCAGCCCTGTGAAGCCTGCTGCTGTTGCTTCAGGGATTCACCATGCTGGGGTTCACTGCACAGCACGGCTGCATGCACGGACAAGCCCATGCAGGCTCTCGGGAATAGCTGGGATTCAGAGCCCCTCGAGGCTTCTGGGCTTCCACAGTCCTTCCCAGCTCGTCAGGATCCACAGCCCGGCCCTGTTGGCGAGAAGCCCGTCCAGGTTCGGAGCACTTGGAGCATTCTACTCCCACATGCACAGCCCTGGCATTGGAGGGGTGCATAGCCCTGGTGTCATTGGTGCGTTTCACAGCCCGTCCAGGCTTGGCAGCACTGTACATAGCCACGTGCATCACAGCCCTGGAATTGGTGCAGTTCAGATTCCAAACCTCCCGTCCAGGCTCGGCAGCACTGTACATACCCAGGGGGGGGTTCATCATAGTCCTTCGAGGTTAGGCAGGAGTGTACATACAGGTACTAGCCCATGTAGGACGGGTGGTTTGCAACAGAGCCCGTCAAGATTTGGTAAGGAGAGCAGGGCGCATGCGAGCGTGCTGTTTCGGCGGGAGAAGGATAGGCATGGTGGCGGAGGAATGGAATCATTTTCGGGGATGGAGCCCATGTGCTTGGACGGCGATACAGGAGGTGCAGGTGGTACAGGAGGTGACGGTGGTACAAGAGATGAAGGATGTATAGGAGGCGATGGTGATACACGAGATGACGGTTGTACAGGTGGTGGCGGCAAGACAGGAGGCGGCTGTATAGCAGGAGGTCATGGCAGCAAACGAGGCAACGGTGGTGCTGGAGGGATTTGTGGTGAAGGAGGTGGCATTTGCAAGTGTGGACCAGGCTGTGATCCCAGTAGTGGCACCACTGTGGTTGCTGTGGTTGGAAGAGGTGACGATGGGTTACATGGTGGTGCTGCTGGAGCCATTGCAAGTGGCACAGTGGAAAACGTTTTCATACCAGACGCTTCATAGATCCCTAGACATTAGAGAGCCATCTAGAATTGCCTTCTCCACATCCTCTCTGCTGAAAGAATAGCTGAATTTCCGTTCAATGTCTCTGCTCAGATTGCCAGGACCGCTCTTCAAGTACCTGGCGATGACAGCAGATCATGGAGGTAATGAGAATGAAACGAAACTGACAGAAAAAAAAAGTAAGGTAACTAGATTATCAACGAATGAAGAAAGGTTCGACAAGGTGAAATGGGAACAAACGAAAGCCAGGAGAGAAAGGCAGGAACTGGATGGGATTGGGAGGTTCATGCAGAACAGAACATAAGCTTTCTGCGTTGAAGTCAAAGTCAGTCAATTCAGAGAATAAGCAAGTAATCATGAATGAAGTCCTCCCTCGACCATTGTCTATCCTTGACTCACCTTACCATGATCCTTCAAGCTGGTTGTTCTAGGAAACGAGAAAACCGTCATTCACACTCAAATTCTCTTCTTCAACAACTCGAATTTACCTTGTTCTTGCTTATTGACCACAGGTCAGGCTCTCACCTCACAAGCACATCTGTTAAGGTACATCCATGACCAGCTCCGCATGCCAGTGGCTCCATGAGAACGTCCGCGTGTAAGGAGACGAAATTCGAGACGGTTCAGGAATCGCACGTCAGGCGCTCACCTCACAACCACATCTGTCACATCCGTGACCAGCTCCGCATGCCAGTCGCTCACAGTAGAATTCGCGTGTAACGATACATATTTTTAGACTTCTCGAAAATCACATGGCAGGCACGCACCTCACAACTACATCAGTTACATCCGTGACCAGCTCCGCATGCCAATCGCTCCGCTCAAGTCGCCAGATCTCAGGCTTCGCGGCCGATTGTTGAAACCCTAACGATCGGAGCCACGCCTCGATCGACGGTAAGCTGCATGCGTATAACGCGGATGATTTGTCCGGAAGCTTCGCCAGCCAATCCTCGTCCGTGAACGATGTAAAATCGTCTGCGGCGACTGCAACGACGAATTTCGCACGCCTACTCTGTAATCTTGATCCCGGAAATGCTATACGCTGGCTGTGCTTCTGCGAAAATGTGACAGACCGAAGACAAGGCAGGAGAGAAGCACGTCCTATCCGCACGCAAGCTCCCGAATTCGACGCATGCGAAGCCTTGGAGGAGAATAGACCGGCTGAACTTGGTCGTATTGTAGAGAGAAACGCCGTGTCCGCCATAGCAAACTGGTTCTCCACACAGTTATGATGGTGTGCTTGCCTTGGATGTCAGTCTGGTTTGGAACGAGCACAACATTACCTTATCATCAAGCCCTGTCATTTCCTGCACGCATTGTCATTGTGCTCACACCCCACTCTCCAGCATCCAGACGAAGGGCTGTGGGAAAAGATCAGAAAGGGGCCCCGGAGTAGCAGTAAAGTGGCCAACTTGGGGCCTCGTGAGTCGCGCCCCTACTACGTAGCCCCGAAGCAACCAACACACCTGGCCAGTTAGGCCGAGCCTAGCCTTCTCGCCAGGTCACCACCTACTGGCGGGTTACGACCGACAGCCGGGGTAATACCAAAGGGGGTTTCCCCTATAACTTTACTTTACTTTACTTTACTTTACCTGGGGTTGACGGAATTAGCTAGTGACTCGTCATCTAAAATTACCCAGAAAAACAATCGTTCCCAAAAAAATCAACATCTCAATGGTACAAAAAATAAACCCCATTCGGATGGCATATAATTGGGGAAGCATCAACCCTAAACACCGTGCGGCAAGATGTCTAGGGCTGAGTGTTAGAATCACTAGTAGCTAGGTGAGGAATGATGATTAGGTGAGGGAGAGGGGGTACAAGAGTGTCGAGAGAGTTGGGTTGTACCCTCTAAGGTGTGACCCTACACAACCTAGAGTAAGAACATAACAATATGTTTTGACACACCCCCATAGGTGAAGTAGGGGATAGCCAAACCTAACAGTGGTCACAAGACCAGTCAAGCAACAGAACAAGCAAGGCAAAGCCCAGGGTGGATCTCAAGGACACCACACAATCTGAGCACAAGCAGGCGGCCACAAGGCCAGTTCACATGCAGATTTATAATAGCAAGGCAGTAAACATGCAGGTATAAAGATATATATAGCAGTGTATAACAAGAGCAAGTCAAGCAACCAGCAGGTGAGGCAGAGTGGGCACAAGCCCAAGAGCAGTGCAGAAACGCTGATGATCACCAGCCCCAAGGGCCTTGGTGAAGACATCAGCAGTGTTGGCCCGAGAGGCCACGAAAGCAAGGCGCAGCTGACCACGCTGCTGCAGCTCACGCGCAAGGAAGTAGCGCAGAGCAATGTGCTTCGTTCTGTGCTCCAGTCTCTGCTCGCGACACAAGGCAAGCATTGCCTTGTTGTCGACGTACAGAACTGGAGGAGAACGAGGCCGCTCCCCCAAGTCGGTCAGCAGGTAGGTCAGCCAGCGGAGCTCCTGTGCAGCCATGGCCCCAGCGTAGATCTCGGCCTCACAACTGGAACCAAGCACAGAAGAAGAACGAGTGGACCTCCACGAGACAGAACCAGCGCCAAGACTGAAGGTGTAGCCCTGTGACGAACGCTGAGTCGCCTGGTCGTCGGCCCAAGAGGCGTCAGAGTGTCCTGTGAGGACCACCGAACCCCGTCCTCCAAGCACGAGCCCCATGCCCGATGTGCTGCACAAGTAACGCAGTACCCTCTTCGCAGCATCAAAGTGCACCTTTCGGTGCCTACCGGGTGCCACGTAGCGAGCCAGAAGGCTGAGAGGGTACGCGAGGTCAGGTCGTGTGCACGTCATCAGGTACATGAGGCATCCCACAAGCTCTGGGTACGGACCACTCGGCTCTACGGACTCGTCCGAAGGTGGAGCTGAGAGCGAGTGGCCGGTAGCCAGAGGAGTGGGCTGTGGCGAGGAGTACGTGAAGCGGAAGCGCTGTAGGACCTGGTGCACCATGTGTGACTGAGTTAGGGTGATGGTGCGCCGTGGTCTGTCCCGGGTGATCTGCAAGCCAAGATAGCTCCGCAGCTCACCCAGGTCAGTGCAGGTGTGTCTCTCCTGCAGCTCCGCCTTCACTTGGGTCAGTGCCTCAGTGTCAGCAGTAGAAAAAACCAAGTCGTCGACGTACACGAGGATGTAGAACGGCGGCAGAGTAATGTCGGTGCGTAGAAACAGCGACGGGTCAGCAGTCGAAGGAGCAAACCCAAGAGCCGCAAGTGTCGTCCTCAGTGTGTCGTGCCACTCGCGGGGCGCCTGACGCAAGCCGTACACTGGTCGCCGTAGGCTCCACTGGGTACCCTCAGGAAACGACCCAGTGAAGCCCTGTGGACGGCGCAACCAGATGGCCTCGTGAAGGCTACCCTGCAAGAAAGCTGTCGAGAAGTCGAGGGAGTGCAGCTCGTAGTCACGCTGAGCTGCAACGTGTAGCAACACCCGAAGAGTGGTCATCTTCGGGGTGGGAGAGAAGGTCTGAAAGAAGTCGACCCCCTCATGCTGACTGAAGCCTCGAGCAACGTAACGTGCCTTGAAGGCAGGCGGAGAACCCGGCGGCCGCTTCACCCTGAAAATCCACATGCCACTGACGATGTTCGCCCCAGGTGGGGGAACCTCGTCGACGTAGGTGCCTGTGGACTTCCAGGAAGCCATCTCTGCGTCCATGGCTGTCTGCCACTGAGAGGAGTACTCACCCGAAATCGCCTCCCTGTAGGAGCGCGGGGTGGGGATGTCAAGTGCATCCGGGTCTCCCTCAGGGGCAAGCAGCATGGTCGCGTGATGGGGTGAAGCGGCAGCAAGGCACTCCAGCTCCTCCTGTCTGTCCTCAAGAACGTCACAGCCAAGGGCAGTGCAGCCAAGAGCAGTCTCACCCCCGACGGACGGAGGACAGGCAGGGACAGGGTCAGAGACAAGACTCGCAAGGTAGTCGAGGCGGTACACAGCAGCAAAGTCAACGAGCTCAGCTACTAGGGCAGACGCAGCAGGAGACGAGAACGTAGGGTCCGTCACAACCGTAGCAAGAAGGCGAGTAACAGTCGGACTGGACGCACGAGCAAGGTCAGACGGAGGGTCAGCAACGTCAGGCAAAGAGGACGCTGGAGGTAACGGTAGGACAACACGCTGAGGAACAGAGGAAGGACGGAGTGTCATATCGTGAGTGCCGGGGACAGCCGGAGCACGCTGACGACGAACACGAGGAACACGAGCACGGACAGCAGCTCTAGGCTCAGGCTCAAGGTCAAAGCTAGACTCAGGCTCTCGACGCTCAGGGGTGGAAGCACGAGTCTCAGGCTCTCGACGCTCAGTCAGGGACTCTGACACCGCAGTGTAAGGAGCAGGAGCAGGCAGTGGGGAGTGTGGTAGCAGCGGCGGCTGTGACTGGTCCGCCGGTGGACACAGCAACGGAGGAGTAGTACCTGCCACAGGGAAGCCAGTAGCACCTGGCTGAAGACTGAGAAGGTGGCGAAGAGCACCAGTAGCTCCACCAGGACCTCCAGCATCTCCAGGACCTCCAGTCCCAGCAGCTCCAGCTCCTCCAGCACCAGCAGCTCCAGCAGCTCCACGACCTCCAGCACCAGCAGTACCTCCAGTACCTCCAGCACCAGCAGCTCCACGACCTCCAGCACCAGCAGCACCTCCAGTACCTCCAGCACCAGCAGCTCCACCAGGACCAGCAGCACCTGCAGCTCCCCGACCTCCAGCACCAGCAGCACCTCCAGTACCTCCAACACCTCCAGGACCTCCAGCACCAGCAGCACCTCCAGGACCTCCAGCACCAGCAGTACCTCCAGTACCTCCCGCACCAGTAGCTCCAGGTCCTCCGGTAGGAGCTCCGACGACACCAACACCAGAAGGACTCGCAGCACCCCCAGAGTCAGCACCCAAACTCGTAGTACCCCCAGAGGCAGGACCCTCGGTCTCAGCACTCGCAGGCTCAGTACCCTCAGTCGCAGCACCCTCAGGTCCAGTACCCTCAGTCCCAGCACCCCCAGGCTCAGTACCCTCAGTCCCAGCACCCCCAG